GGCTATCCAGGGCTGCATGTGGCTGTCCGTGGCTGCATGTGGCTGTCTGTGGCTGCATGTGGCTGTCCGTGGTTGCATGTGGCTGTCCGTGGCTGCATGTGGCTGTCTGTGGCTGCATGTGGCTGTCCGTGGCTGCATGTGGCTGTCCGTGGCTTTCCGTAGTTGCATGTGGCTGTTCGTGGGTGTCCGTGGCTGCATGTGGCTGTTCGTGGGTGTCCGTGGCTGCATGTGGCTTTCCGTGGCTGCATGTGGCATATCATGGCTGCATATGGCTTTCCATAGCTGCATGTGGCTGTCCATGGCTGCATGTGACTCTGTTCCTGCATGTGGCTGTCCGGGGCTGAATGTGGCTTTCTGTGGCTGCATGTGGCGCTCTGGGGCTGCATGTGGCTGCCCCAGGCTGCATGTGGCTGTCTGTGGCTGTCCGTGACTGTCCGTGGCTGAACGTGGATGCCTATGGCTGCATGTGGCTGTCCGTGGCTACATGTGGCTGTCCGGGGCTGAATGAGGCTGCATGCGACTGTCCGTGGCTGCATGTGGCTGTCCAGAGGCTGCATGTGGCTGTTGGTGGCTGTCCGTGACTGTCCGTGGCTGCATGTGGATGCCTGTGGCTGCATGTGGCTGTCCGTGGCTGCATGTGGCTGTCCGGGGCTGAATGAGGCTGCATGTATCTGTCCGTGGCTGCTTGTGTCTGTCTTGGGCTGCATGTGACTGTCTGGGGCTGTCCGTGACTGTCCGTGGCTGCATGTGTCTGTCTGGGGCTGTCCGTGACTGTCCGTGGCTGCATGTGGCTGTCTGAGGCATTCCGTGACTGTCCGTGGCTGCATGTGGCTGTCAAATGCTGCATGTGACTGTGGATGCATGTGGCTGTCCGGGGCTGTTCGTGGCTGCATGTGGTTGCGTGGTGCTGTTCTTGGCTTAATGTGGCTGTCCGTGGCTGTCCGAGGCTGCATGTGCCTGTCCGAGGCTGCATGTGCCTGTCCGTGGCTGCATTTGGCTGTCCGGGACTGTCCGTGGCTGTTTGTGGCTGCATGTGACATTCAGTGGCTGCATGTGGCTGTCCTTGGCTGCATGTGGCTGTCCGGGTCTGACCTTGGCTACATGTGGCTGTCCAGGGCTGTCTGTGACTGTCCGTGGCTGCATATGGCTTTCCGTGGCTGTAAGTGGATATCCGTGGCTGCATGTGGCTCTCCGTGGGTGTTCGTGGCTGCATGTGGCTGTCCGTTGCTGCATGTGACTGTCCGTGGCTGCATGTGGTTGTCAGTGGCTGCATGTGGCTGTCCGTGACTCCGTGGCTGCCCGTGGTTGCATGTGATTGCATGTGGCTGTGCGTGGCTGCATATTGCTGTCCGTGGCTGGTCCGTGGCTGCATGTGGCTTTCCGTGGATGCATGTGGCTCTCCGTGGCTGCATATGGCTTTCCGTGGCTGCATTATGCTCTCTGGTGTTGCATGTGGCTGTTCGTGGGATTCCGTGGCTGTATGTGGCTACATGTGGCTGTTGGTGGTTGCATGTGGCTATCCGTGGGTGTCCGTGACTGCATGTAGCTATCCGTGGCTGCATGTGTCTATCCGTGGCTGTATGTGGCTGTCCGCGGCTGCATGTGGCTGTCTGTGGCGGTCTGTGGCTTCATGTGGCTATCCGAGGCTGCATGTGGCTGTCATTGGCTGCATGTGACTGTCCGTGGCTGCACGTGGCTGTCCGTGGCTGCATGTGGCTGTCTGTGGCTGTATGTGGCTATCAGTGGCTACATGTGGCTGTCCGTGGCTGCATATGGCTTTCTATAGCTGCATGTGGCTGTCCATGGCTGCATGTGGCTGTCTGGGGTTGCATGTGGCTTTATGTGGCTGTTCGTGGGTGTCCGTGACTGTGGCTGTCCGTGGCTACATGTGACTGTCGGTGGCTGCATGTGGCTGTTCGTGGGTGTCCGTGGCTGCATGTGTCTGTCCGTGGCTGCATGTGGCTGTCCGTGGCTGCATGTGGCTGTCCGTGGCTGCATGTGTGTGTCCGCGGCTGCATGTGGCTGTCCGTGGGTGTCCGTGGCTGCATGTGACTCTGGCTGCATGTGGCTGTCCGTGGCTGTCTGGGGCTGCATGTGGCTGTCTGGGGCTGCATGTGGCTGTCCGTGGCTACATGTGGCTGTCCGTGGCTGCACATGGATGTTCGTTGCGGCATATGGCTGTTCGTGGCTCCATGTGGCTATCCGTGGCTGCATGTTGCTGTCGGTGGATGCATGTGACTGTCCGTGGCTGCATGTGGCTGTCTGTCCTTCATGTGGCTATCCGGGGCTGCATGTGGCTGTCCGTGGCTGCATGTGTCTGTCCGTGGGTGTCCGTGACTGCATGTGGCTTTCCGTGGCTGCATGTGGCTGTCCATGGCTGTATATGGCTTTCCGTGGCTGTCTATGGCTGCACGTGGCTGTCCGTGGCTGCATGTGGCTTTCTGTGGCCGTCTGGGGCTGCATGTGGCTTTCCGTGGCTGCATGTGGCTGTTCGTGGGTGTCCGTGGCTGTATGTGACTGTCGGTGGCTGCATGTGGCTGTCCGTGGCTGCATGTGGCTATCCGTGGCTGCATGTGTCTGTCCGTGGCTGCATGTGTCTGTCCGTGGCTGCATGTGGCTGTCCGTGGCTGCATGTGTCTGTCCGTGGCTGAATGTGGCTGTTCGTGGGTGTCCGTGACTGCATGTGGCTGTCCGGGGCTGCATGTGCCTATCCGGGGCTGCATGTTGCTGTCCGTGGCTACATGTGATTGTCCGTGGCTGAATGTGGCTGTCCGTGGCTGCATGTGGCTGTCCGTGGCTGTCCGTGGCTGCATGTGACTGTCCGTGGCTGCATGTGGCTGTCCGTGGCTGCATGTGGCTGTCCGTGGCTGTCTGTAGTTGCATGTGGGTGTCTGTGGCTGCATGTGGGTGTCCGTGGCTGCATGTGGCTGTCCGTGGCTGCATGTGGCTGTCCGTGGCTGCATGTGGCTGTCCGTGGCTGCATGTGGCTGCATGTGGCTGTCCGTGGGTGTCCGTAGAGAGAGTGGTAGAGGGCGGTACTTGTGTATTTCTCCAGGTCTGGGATATTTGTACTCATAAGCTTCATGACCTGGGAGCTTATATTGCTATTTTCAGGAGACTTATTGGTAAGGAATAGTTGGTGGTGGTGGTGGTGGTGGTGGTTATGGTGGTGGTTATGGTGGTGGTGGTGGTGGTGGTGGTGGTGGTGGTGGTGGTGGTTATGGTGGTGATGGTGGTGATGGTGGTGATGGTGATGGTGATGGTGGTGGTGGTGGTGGTGGTGGTTATGGTGGTGGTGGTGGTGGTGGTTGTGGTGGTGGTGGTTATGGTGGCGGTGGTGGTGGTTATGGTGGTGGTGGTGGTGGTGGTGGTGCTGGTGGTGGCGGGCGTGCGCGCGCCCTCCCACCCAGGGATTACAGGTCGTGGTTGTCCGTTAAGCTCGGGCCAGGTCCTGGCGCCTGTGTCCGGCTGCGTGTGTGGTGGTCGAGGCAGTTAAGTGAGAACCAGCACCTGAATTGTGTCTTGTAACGACGTATATTGCGAGAGTTAACTGGTGTAAGGAGCCAGCTAGGCCTCTTAGGCAAGTGGCGAGGACTGGGGGCCCTCCCCTCAGGACGCTCACGCCAGCTACACGCACACGCGCGCGCGCACACACACACACACACACACACACACACACACACACACACACACACACACACACACACACACACACACACACACACACACACACACACGATACAGAATAGGAGTCCTTCATGAAACGGACAGAGAGAAAGATCTAGGAGTTGATATCACACCAAACCTGTCTCCTGAAGCCCACATCAAATGAATAATATCAGAATTGCCTTCAGGAAGCTGTGTAAGGTAAGATCAATCCTGGAGTATGCGGCCCCAGCATGGAGCCCGTATCTTGTCAAGCACAAGACGAAGCTGGAAAAAGTTCAGATATGCCACTAGGCTAATCCCAGAACTAAGAGGCATGAGTTACGAGGACAGGCTGCGAGAAATGAACCTCACGACACTGGCAGACAGAGAAGTAAGGGGAGACATGATTACTACCTACAAAATTCTCAGAGGAATTGACAAGGTAGATAAAGATAAATTGTTTGACACGGGTGGTAAGCGAACAAGGGGGACACAGGTGGTAACTGAGTACCCACATGAGTCACAGGGACGTTAGAAAGAACTTTTTCAGTGTCAGAGTGGAATGCATTAGGCAGTGATGTGGTGGAGGCTGACTCCATACACAGTTTCAAGTGTAGATATGATAGAGCCCAGTAGGCTCAGGAACAAAAAGCCGAAGCTCAATTAGGTGAGTACACACACACACACGCAGAGAGGTGTTCGGGGTGGGGGAGGGGGTGAGTGTGTGTGTGAGTACTCACCTGGATGAGTACTCCACTAGATGAGTACACACTCACCATCCTCCCCCCCCAACTCCTCCCCCAACACATCACTCTGAACGTGTTGAAAACACGTCTCCCACAGCTCCTTCTACCAGACCTGCGCCAGCCTATCCCTCAAGAGCTTGTTGAAAGGCTAAGACAACAATTCTCAACCCATTTCACATAGCACGAGGAGCACACAGCCATGGGCACTCTTGCCTATTTGCGTAGATTAATGGTGTTTACTTCTGTATCTCTCAATACGCAAGACAGGAAGACTTTGCACTGGTATTCCTGCGCTAACTTACCCGACTCTCCGGGACGCCCCGGGAAAACACTCTACAGATTTGGTTACTGAAAAAGACATTAATGAGTACTTGAGATCAATCCATGAGCCCAGGCCCCTGAGAATAGCCCCTGAGACCAGTCCCCTGAGACCGAGACCTACATCTAGCCCCTGAGACTAACTGAAATTAGCCTCCCCCGCCCCCCTACTGAAGTCAAGACTGGCGTCCAGTCCCCCTTATATCATCCCCTGAAAGCCAAACAGTGCCCCCCAAACCCGCCCTCACCACCGTAGCAGTACGGGTCAGCACAAGAGGGAAGACCCACCTGGACCCGACTCTCTGGCAGGTTGATCTTGAGGGCGACCTCCTCCCTCATGAAGATGTCCGGGTAGCGGGTCTTGGTGAAGAGGGACTCGAGCACGTCGAGCTGAGCCCTGGTGAAGGTGGTCCTCTCCCGCCGCTGCTTCCGAGTCGGGGCTG